GTTTAAGCCGAAAATGAAAACCCAAAACTTTTTTTTGGTTTGGACGAATTGTTCGGTTTCGAAATTTTTCGACACAACCAAGTATGCCCCCAACCATAATACTTAGAAATTTTTCTGGATTTGTGGAAGAGTGGAGATTTGGGAGAGATGGTGTTAGTCAAGAGCAAAAATCGGTTTCTAGTGATTTAGAATCAAGAGGTCAAGAACCAGATACTTAGAAAATACAATTTAGAATAAACCAAACCAATCAGATGTTCTTCAATTGTCCTTTAAGAAACCAGAATGACCTAATTTTTGGTTGAATGTGTCTTCATTTTCTGGGTTGATTTTTCTTTTATTTAGAAGTTGAATGGTTTTGATTTTGGGCTATTTGTTCTTGAATTTCAACATAACCTCAAAATTGAAGTAAAAAAATTACACGTTTGGAATTGCTTGTAAAAACAACTTAATGACTTATTCTGGTATGACACCGGTAATAAGTATTTTTGAGTGTTTGGATAAACAACTTATACCGATGCCAAACCGATAATAAGGAGTTTTTAAAGAAGTTAAACTCTTCTGACTTGTAATAAGTTGATAAGTGTTTTTGTAGAAAAACATAAGTTGTTCAAATAAGCGAATTCCAAACAACCCCTTAGTGTCGCAGAGGAAACAAAAAGGTGGCCACAATTGGGTTGGTTTTAACTTTTTAATGGGATAAAACAAGTGTGGATTGAGTTTTATTTTTGTACTAGAAAATCAGTAAAATAAGATAAAAAGACAAAAATACCCTTAACTTAATTGATTATTTAAACAGAATTAGTCCTAGGGACGAAAACTGAACGAAATGGACGAAAAAAAAGCAGTTTTAAAGACCAAGGATGAAAATCGTTATAAGTAGCAAACCACAACGACAAAAGTCATAGTTTACTCTTAAAAAAACTTGATACGTCCTAATTAAATTAAATGTCCAAAATGAAAAAAAAAAACACAACTTTAGGTATACGTAATCATTACACTTTTCAATTAATTACAGAACAATATTTACCCTTAATAATAGAGAGATGAATTTTCTACATTTCATAGTTAAGGCAGAATGAGAAAATAAACATTTATTTTTGAAAATGATACTTATTTTGAAACAAACTAAAATATAAACGTGAACACTTATTTTGGTACAAATGTAACATAAGTAATGGATAACTAACCACAAAGATTGTGCCTGATTGGTTTGAACTTGGCTCCAAAGGTCAAAAATACTTGCAGGTCTCAGGTTCAAATCCAAAGAGGATAAAAATCCCCTTGTGGCCACGGAGGTTCAAATGCGGTGACTCTGGGCTATCTACAAAGCAAGTGATCGTGCTGAAATTAGTCAGCTCGCATAACGAGTTAGATATTCAAGTTAATAAAAAAAAAGTAATGGATAACTTTATAATACAAGAACTATAAATAAAATCCCTCGGTCATATCTTTCAAAATACATCGTTAAACAATTGCCAAACTATTATAAATTTGATATATCCAGTTAAGATATCTTCTATTATCAGTTATAAAATGTTATACATGTAATAAGCTTTAATAAACTACTTACTAATCTCGTTCTTTATAGTTGTTGGTAACATAACATTCCCAGAGGGGGTGTTATTTTTCATAAATTGTGATCGTATTCCGACCAATAGGTAGTTAGTGATGGTCCCTATAGCAAGTTTTGGAGATGCCGATTCGAGGCTTCCATAAAGTCGAGAGGGACAATACGATAAGAATCGTATGCTAGTTAAGACCACCTTGTCTTAAGATCGGGACCCATTAAGCCGACCTACTGATTGGTGGGGATAAATAATGCGCCATAAAACCCCTAAAAAATTAATATTATTTACAGATGTACATTATACTATAAAAGTTATATATTTCTCGATTTTAAAAGCGACCACACTTAAAATAAATAACGTTATTTAACTTGCATTTAATGAAAACTGTATTTTAGTTGATGCTAGCTATATACCCGTCCGATACAGCAAGATGTAAAATATTATTATAAACCCGTAATGGAAATCGAATGCAAGTCCTCATTAAAAAAAAGAAAATCTTGAATTTATATTTAAACAAGATAAAGCTTACAGTAATCTATATATAGTCATAACACATCTGACATCTGAATATAAATGTCTAAGGTGACGTTTGTTTTTTAAGAGATGCTGAAGTATGAAGTCTTATTTCATTTTTTATTAATAAGAGGTGGTGCTGAAGCCTGAGATGTGAATCAAAAAAACTGATTACTGTCTAAATTTGTTTGAATTATCTATTTTTATTGATTATAAAATTATAATGTTGAATTTATAGATAAATTTATACAATATCACATATTTATTCATCATCGTTACAAATTTTATATTTAAATTATATAATTAGCATTCATTTAAACAAAAATATGTCATTAACGGTATTTAACACATTTAAATCCTAATAAAATACACCAATTGAGTGATGTGAGGATCGATTTGGTAATGGTCAATTGAGAGAAATGATTGATTAAGGTTAATTGATTGAGATTCTTCGTTGCTAAAGGTTTCGAGAACAATAAAAGGCAAATAAGAAGTTGATTTACCTCTTATTAGATAAGAAGACAATAAGATATCAGAGATTCTCTGAAAAAGAAAAAAAACAAACAGTCTGAATGATCCTAATTCTTAACAAATCAAACATAAGAGGCTAATAAGAGCTTTTTAAAAAAAACAAACAAGGCTTAAATATGTTAAATTGTTCTGTTTACAAAAGGATTAATGGTGAGAAGTTCCCAAAACTCGTACACCATCAATTCATAACCCTTAATGCATTACTGATTTGTACTTAATACTGATGTTCTACTCTTGATATTTAAGAGTTTTTAAGAATCGTACTTACGGGCTAACCCAAAGCTTTTTGATGCCATGGGCGGAAACGTTAAAACATGTCCCAACCAGAAGAAAAACGCAAATAGTTTTTAGGGTTTGTAAAACTGTTCAAATGATGTTACTCCATTACAATCACACATTATATTATTTTGTGCATCAAATAAATTATTAAAAATATATTTCATATTCTTAACTTATATATCTTTTTAATAATATCCTTACTTTTATTAGTTTATACAAATTCTACGACATAAATTTTGTTATAACACATTTGAACAAACAATATACAGATAATTAACTTTCTACTATGTGTTAGTCAAATTTCATCTTCGGTAATGTATTTCTTTTATATATATATATATATATATAGGGGCCTAATCAAATGAGAACTAATTAGTTTGTGGTAACTGTGAGAACCAATATTAACCACAAATCAATAGATAAATTAGAAAATTTATAATTTTGGCAATTTTAAATTAAAATATTAATGCAAGAATATTTTTGGTATTTTAAAACTTTCCTCCCTCCTCTCTTCTCTCTCCGGCCACTGTCCGCCGGCCACCGTCCTCCGGTGATACTACAATGGTATCACAWTGYATCATATATGTGCTTGGGTATCACATTGATGTCGTTTGTGTGGTCGATCGAAGATGTAACACAGTGGTATCACTATGCATCWTATATATGATTAGGTATCACAATATATCTTTTGTTTAACAAAGTCAATATTTTTAGGTATCACAGTGGTATCATAGTGGTATCACCGGAGGACGGTGGCCGGAGGCCCGAGGACGGTGGCCGGAGAGAGAAGAGAGGAGAGAGGAGAGTTTTAAAATACCAAAAATA